TTTTGATGGTATAGGCTGTACTACTGGAATAGGTGGATTAGGATCACGAATATCGATACCAGAATCATGGCACGACAATTTGACTAGAGATCCTTCTTCGTCCTCAGGAATAGCATTTGATTTAGCTGGTGGTTCCGCCTGCTGTAACAATTGTTTCTGAATGTATATTTTTTATAATTGTTTTACGTATTATTCCAATTTCAATTTATTATATAAATTTTACTAATTCTCTATATCATATCATGAAAGAAATGTAATTACCTTATCAGAATTTAGTGAATCTTGTTGTTCGTCATCAACTGAAAATGTACTTCGATCTTTGCTAGGAACTGCCCAATGATGGTCAAGCATGGAACGTCTGCGTTCCTCTAAAGTTCTACTAGCTTGGCCGCCAGTGCAAAATTCTTTCTCATTACTGTCTTTCTCTTTCTCTTTATCTTTGGTTGAGGTTAAATTCTCCTCCTATAATAGCGATATATTCATTAGAATATAATTTTAACACTTTGCTTTATATAATAAATTGACATTGCAATAAATTGAGATTGTAACAAAAAAATACTTACATTCTGAAGATTAGTAGGAGTGACAAGTTCTCGCTCAAAGGCCTTTGGAAAAGCATCGCCGTCTCTCTCGGCACAGCTACACACACTTTCGCTATCATCGCCTGCTAATTCAGGGAAATTTTCATCTTTCCCCGGAGACTGACATTTACGATTATCTATTTGAGGTTTTTTCATGTAATAAATTTCAGGTTTTTTATCTAAATGTCCGGATTCAGTATGGGAGACCCTCATATGTGCGATATCGTAATAAATCGCAGCGTTGACTACGAATTCCATGGGAGCAATCACTCCATAAGATTCAGCACCATGCTCGATAACAAGAGGATCAGATACGTTTGGATCGAACATAACTGCATTTGGCGTAACTAACAGCACACCGCCGACTACACCCTAAAAGAATATTTCAATATTAGAAAATGTTAAAACTCTTGTATGGAATTTATAGATATAATAAAATAGAATATCTTTCCAAAATTAAGATAATTTTGGCTCAAGTTTCGATAATATTCAGACAGCATGCATGTCAAAATTCACGGACATGATATATAAAGATATCTTAAAAAGAGAAGATAGCTTTAAAATGTCTTACAAACATTTTAAAATATAATATATCCTGACATGCATGTTACCTAGGTATTTCTTTAATTTAGACTAAAGTTTATTTATTGTATGATATTAAATAGTATTAAAGACATTACCTGACCATCTGTGATATGCCTGACATTAATTTTTAGAAATCTTTCTCTGAATGGTTGTTCATCTTCATCTGTAGCCACGCTGGATGTTCCAAGAGGTGTTTTTATACGTTCCATATGACCTGGCTTTGGTGACACTGGTCTCAGATTATCCAGAAGTTCTGTAAAACCAAACGTTGCAATAATAAGTGCGAAATAAAAACATATGTCTTAAAATACACAAGTATATGTTTCATTCTATTTATCACAAAAAGAAAATATTGATATTAATATAATTTATAAGAAATTCGGTTAAAAATGCAAGTAGAATCAACTTGGACCGAAGAGCCGACTATAACGTATTCTACTGACTCCTATGATTTTTTTAAAAATTCGTTATCTGATAAAAGATAAGCTGTGACACTTGTTTAAACTCCGACTGTTCATGTCGATCTAACCTCACATCCAGAATATTGCGATGTAATTCATTATTCGTCGTAATAATGCGAGTAACGAGTCACGCGTGTACAATTTCGACGAAATCGGCAATTACACCATCCATCTCATTTGCCACAACGTCACGATGTAGCACGGGCATTATTAGGTTGGCATAGAGGTTAGAAATGTGTTTACGCGGCTCCGCACATTGTGATTGATCAGCTGATGAACACGATATACCGAGTGATTCGCTAAGTGTATGCTCTAGAATTTATTTGTTTCGCGAGCTCTCTCGATATTACGAATATTACGAATGTTGCGAAGAACACTTGCGACGAAAGAGAGCATTGTGGTCTGCAAAAGAAAATCGAAGACTAAAATCGGTTCGCTTCATATTTAAAATAACTATCTTTTAATTTTTTCATGGTCGATCGGATAACACATTTCTATATTCGTTCATCTCATATAATCAATAACTTCGTTCGTAAGATGTTCTTGAATGATGATGAATAAAGAGAGAGAGAGAGAGAGAGAGAGAGAGAGAGAGAGAGAGAGAATAAAAAGTATATAAAAATGGAAGAATATTGAATGAGATATCGATACGATACACAGAATATTTTAAACTACATTCTGTTGATTATTCTCACTTCTTCTCAACCAATTTATTGATCTCAGATTTTCCAATGGAAGATGTCGAGGCACTAATAACTTTAAATATATATATATATATATATATATA